CACGTGAGTTTTCGAACTGTTGGGTTGACAGGAACTGTATATGTATATAAATAGGTTTATTGCACACCAACTTTCTAGCTTCTATTGAAAGAGGATGTAACAATATGAACAAATAGAAAAAAAGGCATGATCTGGAGAGTGTGCATTTATATTTATTATAATTAATTATATGCCACTTTCGGGGTGAAAATCTTCCCAAAGTGGCCGACAAGGGGCTCTCTTTACTGTAGAGTCAAGGCCTGCGTTCCCAAAAGAAAGATGGGAGGTGAAGATGCCATGTTTTGCCCATATCCAAAATGGATGACGATACGCGACGCACGCTGAAGTTTCCCTAACTTTAAATGGCGCCTGACGTTCTATCGAATGGGCTGTGAAGGCTGAAACTGCCCTGATCCAAAATGGCCGCCACCGCATCCCTCTTCTCGAGACAGATTCTGCATTCTTTTCACTTATTAAAGATGGCTGTCCTGGAGGGAGCAGGAAACCCCTGTCTCCCTTGACGTTGTCCGCAGCTCAGATTGTCCCTCAAATTGCGCCTTGGGGGAGCCAAACCTGTAATCGCTGAAAGAAACAACTATCTTTCATTAGAACCTTCACGGACCAAAATTCTTTTATAACCTGAGCCGCTCAGCTGGCGCCCATCCCTTAATCAAGATGGCTGCTTTACACTCGCGTCGTCGTCAAAGATGGCAAAACCTCCCACCAATGTCCGAGGAGGGTGTCGTCGGGGGGCGGGGCTGGCACGGTTCGCTGATCTCTGATAGGGCAGGAGAAAACTTTCCCCGCCCCATTGCTGTCCCGCACATCCTTCCCCAGGTAGAAAAGATCCCAGTTTAGCGAGCGAGGGAGTGTGGAGTTGAGCAGCTCAGCGGAGGGACGCGGACTGGGCTCGGGAAGGGGGAGAGCAGCCGGGGCTGAGCAGGAAGGGGGCTGGCGTGGAAAGAAGTGTGGGAGAGGTCCTGAAGACTGGAGCCTGTCAGCGGTGGGGAGACCCTGGGAAGTGCCCAGGAGCTGCTCCTCCTTTCCCCCCTCTGCTACCCACCGGTTCCAAGCGGGCTTGCCGCTCCTTCGTAAGGTCATCTGGCTTTTTGGAGAAAAGGTGTCCGGTGAGAGGGGAATAGGGTCCTTCCTTTCTGGGGGGGTTATCTAAAACTTCTGTCCCCTCCCAGGATAAATTTGTATATGTATATATGTGTGGGTGTAACAATGATCAACTCTGTTGCCCTCCTCCACCTTTTTTTGAGTAAATAGCTTTGTAAAGTGGTTTCCCTGCCACCCCTTTGCTCAGTCTAGAACCTATTGTTAAATTTATGAGAAACCAATTTTTTTTTTAAACCTCGGGAGTGAAAACCGTTGGGCTAAGTTGGCAAATGGTGCGCCTTAATAAAAGTACTTTATTTCTGCTTGCTGCTAGTTGAAGAGTAGGATGGGTGTCCCCTGCATTCTTTCCAAACACGACTTTTCCCTTTTTTGTATTTTTCCTTCTCTTTCATTCCTGAGTGTTGCCTAAATAGATCAATATTTTTAACATCCTTTGTTTATTTTTTAACTGAGGTTCTTTTCTTCTCCCTTCCCTCAAGCTTTGGAAAAGCAGACTTCTAAGAAAACCTTAAAAGGAGAGTTTTTAAGCAGTCAGCTGGTTTGATCAGATTCTCACAGACTGTACAGCTTCCTAAGTAAATAAACTCCTTACCTGAAGGTGAAATTATGATGCTGGAAACAAGATTTTCTACATATGTACCTGAACAAGCACGTGTTTTGCTAAGAAAAGTCTTTTTAAACTTACTAACCCTTGTGTTGTACTAAACCTGTAATAAGTCAGACAGGTCTGTATTCATTCCTCTAGAATTTGGATGGGACCACACCAGAAACTTTTTTTTTCCCTAAAGAAGTAGGGGAGATGTGGGCATGCCTGTATTTTTCCACCTGAAGCCTGTTTGGTTTCCTTGACACAGAGGCTCCTGCTCAGTAAAAGAGCAGTGAACTCTGGAAAATGCTGAAGAAGCTCTAGGGATGAAGCACGTTTCTTGATAAAAGTAAGTGGCACTGGCCACTCAGTTGAGTTAAGGAAAATCTGTGCTGATGGAAAGGTTTTAAATCCTGCTTTTCAAATCTAGGGTTCTGGGAGGAGGGATCCAGAAGGTGGGGTTAAGTAGTAGTGGGTTGGGAGTTTGACAGGTGCAAAGCACAACTGCAAAGCTGGGGTTCGGGCACAAGATGAACTTGGTTCTGAAGCCGTGTCGGGAAGATTCGGAGGCCATTCTCCATGGGGAGTTTGGAGCCTATCCCCCTAAGGGGGTCACCTATGCCCTGAGCCTCACACGGACTGAGCTGCATATCCAGCGCCTGGTACCCAAGCCGGACACCGATCAGCGGACCGTGATACAGCTGATAGATGTGGTGGGTTGCCACACGCTGCGCAGTCATACGGTAACAAACCAGTCCGCGTTCTTCTGCATCTATGCCTACCCGCTGAAGAGAAAAAAGGTGGCGGTGGGCTCAGGACGGGCCCGGCAGCGGATTGCAAGGACCTTTCAGGTGGATGGTGCAGAGCACTACAAGGACAACCAGGCTGTGGCGGAAAAATGGGCGACTGCCATCAAGTGCCTAGTGCTGGGGATTCCAATTTCGAGTGAAACAGGTAAGGGATCCCCTGTCTTTGGGAATATCGCTCCTCACCTGGAGAAATGATAAATGCGATCTGCTTCTAAGCGGTGGCGTTCCTTAAACTGTATTGCTGTGGACTGCAAGTAATAGGTGCACGTGTGTGTGTTTTAACAGCCTCTAAAGAAAAAGCAAAATTAGCACATTGGGACAGAGTTCATATCTGGATGATATGGAAAGGTGGTTTGGTTTTTTTTATGTAGGAGAACATGCTGTATTGTTGTTCAAGCCTGCCACATAGTTTTATGAGATAGGTGAAGATAGTCTAGTATGCTTCCAAGCTGATGTAGCAATCTTAAAGAAGTCAAAATCATATTAATACAAGCTCTCGTGACCTAGCAAATGCAAATGTCCTGTCTCTGCTGTCTCTTTCTTAGAACGGCACGTTTTGCTGAACATTTCTGCCCAGAGTCACTTCCTCGTGAGATGGGCTATGTCTAAATTCAACATATAAATAAATAAATTTCCTTAAATTCCTTTCTAAATTATCCATCTTTGCATCTTGCTTGATGAAAGGTTATGCTATTCTTATTATAATCTTACTTTCAAATTGCTGAGATTACAGCAGAATAGGTTAATTTTCCTGACCTACAACTCCCTAGTGTTGGATTGCCTTGGATAGATGTAAATTTGCACTCCAGGGAGGTGTTAGCTTTTGAAGTGTTGGGTAACTGAGAGGGAAACACAATTCTGCCTCTTCTAATAAGTACAGAATATTTGAATAAATGATTGCTGGATTGGCCTGCCTTTATATAATGGAAGGCAATTCCCATCGTAATGCAAAGGTGAGGAAGCTGAGCTCCCCAGATGCTGTTGTATGGGATCTTTCTTCCTCCTGAGCAGTTTTGACTGCTGGAATTTTCATGTTTCTCTGTGTAATTGGGCTTTTACCTTCCTCCTTTCTTATAATGCCACTGAAAGTTGTCTCTTATTATGGACTGATAGAAGTAAGAGAATATATTCTTCTCTGTTTTTCCTTTAACCATGTAAAAGTTCTGAAGACATGTTTCGCCCAACTAAATGAAATTTTGGTTTAAAATGTGAGCATAAATGCACTGTGAGGTATGGAGTCAAATGTTACAATGGCTACAGGTCCCACAGCCAAATGTGTTTAACTCAACTTGCAATTCATTTAAATGCAAACCAAAAGGAGATGATCCATTTATGCTGAACAGCTTTCTTACAACCTGTAGCTCTCCAAGTTTGTTGAATTCAGCTCCATAATTTCCAATCAGCATAACAATTCTAAAGAATACAGAATGTATTGTGTTAGGGTGCGTAACATCAGGCTGATAGCGATTCTTCACTGGGTATTTCTTATTTATCAGCACCACTTACATCAGCTTATTTACAACTGATGTATAATAGAGGGGGAGGGAAAGTCAAGTAGAATAAACAGCACAGTAATAAAATTAAAAGCTATGGGTATTGGCTACAGAATAAAAGTGTTATGTATGTCATTACTAATAATTGAATCATTTTTTGAGTTAGAGTTGTACATCTGAAATTACAGGGAGAAGATTTAAATGCTTCTAACTCCAGGAGGGGATGGCATGGTTTAAATACCTTGACCAAATGGAATCTGTAGGGACAATTGCTACCCGGTGCTGAGCTTCTAACCTCTAACGAGAGCCTGTAGAGAGTTCACAACGTACACTTTACCCTAACAGTGCCTGATTGTAGCTCTAGCTAAAACTAGTGGGTGGCTTTTTCCCCCCTTAATGAGAAAGAACATTCAGATATAGCATTCTGTCCTCATTTTGCATCTTGTGTTACACATTCCACAAAGAAGTCAGGCTTGACTACATGAGTCAGCTAACTGCAAGAAGAGCTCTCGAGAACCAAGTCAGAATAATTTGCTGTTCCATAAGATACAGTACTTTTGTTACAGAACTATATGCCATCTTAGAATACAAGGCTTGCATTCGAAGTTTGTGTAACCAAGAGAAACAGCTGGCTTTCTAAGAGATGATGATGCATTAAATACAGACAGCTCTACCAGCAACATCAGTTTAAAAAAACTGCAGAGGAGGTGCTGAACACTGCATAGGAGGGTCCATGTTAAAAGGGATTTGTAAGAAAGCAAAACAACATGGTTGTGAACTGATAAAATCTCTGGCTAGTTCATGGCCTTTTTAAGTTTGCCATTCAGCATCCAATCTCCTTCATTCATTTTAGTACCTATTTCAGAGGTGCCCAAGAATTTCTGTATGGTGCATCACCAGTTGGACACATTTGCTCCTAGAAGTTTTCTGTGATTTATTGCCTTTATGATTTGGTTGGTAGTTTTATGGAAGAAGCTGGTTTTGCAGGAAAATCCACAGCATCGAAAGCTTTCCTCATCACTGTGTGATGTAGGACTTGTGGTTCTGAGCACTTCCTTAAAATGATGCAAAACAACTTTCTTTCCTAATTTATGTTATGAATTTCCACATGCTCTCCAGATTCTTAGACTTGTTTGTATTATCAGAAGCAATGTTGCTCTGTTTTCCTCGTCCGGAAGATTTTGTGTGACAGGCTAAAATCTAAAGGATTGTTTTGCATCAGGAATTCAATCTGCATGCTCTTTAGATCTGTCACTTCCATTGACAAGAAAACTATCAGCTCTGCCTTTGTACAAATGGGATGTTTTTCAATTGAAGTAAAAAAACAGAAGAATTTCAGCTGCTCAGTCAAGTTGGAAAAGGTCCCTGCAGGATGGAGTGAGGAGAAAAACAGTAGTTTAATAGTCAATTTTCTGTACATATATTCAAAACACAAGTGAACTATGGGAGGGGTTCCCCCTCTAAACTAAAGTCTATGTAGCAAAGCATACTAAATAAGCTTTATATGTAGATATACTTTATCTGTCCAGAATGTAGTTTGAATTACATGCTGACACAACTTTGTTAAAGATTGCCAGTTTCTGGATGGAAAGCTACTTTGGAACACTTGTGTCTGCTGAAAGAAAAAGGGGATATAAATCATTACTTACAAAGTGTCAGATAGTATAGCCTTATACTGATGTTTTGGGCCAGTCGCTTTTTCTCAGCCCTAGGAAGGAGGCAATGGCAAACCACTACTGAAAAACTTTGCCAAGAAAACTGCAAAGCCTTGTTCAGGCAGTCTCTGAGAATCAGATGCGATTGAACAGCTTAAAAAAAAAAAAGTTATGGTGATGGAAATCCCATTATGCTGGCAGAACTTATTGTATGTAACATTCTGCCAGTAAAAATCCAGAATATAGAAGAGATATCATTTGAGAACCTTTTCTATCCTGATACTCTCCATTTATTTATACACACACAAATACACACACTATTGATATGCCTCTACGTGGATTCCCATCACCATGGTAAAGCATAAGGTATGGTGTAAGTCCTCAATGCTCAATTGCAGGACACCACAACTGGTATCTAAGCCCCATACTGGAGACTGGTACCCAGACGATTAGAACACAGGGTTATTGTTTCTGACCTCATACTACAAGTAGTCCTCGGTTAACAACGGTAATTGAGACTGGAATTTCCATCGCTAAGCGATCCGGTTGTAAAGCACATCACCTAGCCACATTGCTTAGCAACGGCAATCCTGGAACTCCCCACTGCCATCATTAAGCAAGGATTGCAGGTCATTAAGCAAGTCCTGGGTGCCTTGCAGGCAGGCAGCTGGGTAAGTGGCTGCGGCAGGGCAGGGTGCGCGGGTGGCCAGCAAGGGGTGGCAGGGCTAGGGGTGGCTGCTGCTGGGTGGGGGAGAGTGCGAGTGCCTTACTGGAGCAACTCGCGACCTTCCCTACCAGCTTCCCCATTGACTTTGTTTGTGGGAAGCCAGCAGGGAAGGTCGCAAATGGTGACCATGTGACCACAGGATGCTGCAACTGTAATAAGTGCAAGCCAGTTGCCAAGTGCCCAGATTGCAATCGCTGGGATGGCTGGAACTTTGGGGACTGTTTGTAAGTATCACTCGTTCAGTGCCGTCATAACTTTGAACGGTCACTGAACAATTGGTCGTTAAACGAGGACTACCTGTACTTATAGAGCATAAAGGAGAACGTTGGTAGAAAGAATTCTGAAAGAAGGGCAGTTTGCACCCTAAGAGTCTAGTCTCCAAACACACACCACAAGAATAATTCTTGATCGTTGTGTGGCATGCAGAGAAATAGCAGAGGCCAGGAGAAAAGATGTGGGCAATGCCAGCATAAAAATGAAATAGCATTTAAATTCAATTGTATTTAATCATACTGTCTATGGGGATCATATATAATTAAATGGTCTCTATATATTACATGGGGATAGTTCAATAATTATTACTTGTAGGGCGATCAAATTAATTGCACTGAATTCCATGCATTATTGATTGAATTATCCTCATAGCCTCCAGGAGAGTTTCCGTTTCTGTCACATTAAGAGTTACTAGTTGTTGCCAACTTTTGAAGGGGTTGCATCTGTTGTGTTTTCCTTGGAAGAATCACTGCTCCTCCACGTACCGATCAGTAAAACGCTTTGCCTTTGCTATGTGTATTGTAACTGGGAGAGGAAGAGTTCCTGGTGGGTTCAGAAGTAGTGGCTTTTGGTCTGCTACTTCATCCAGACCTGTTGGTCTCTCAGCCTCGGTAAGAGATGGTGACGCCGCTGCTGCTGCCAATTTATACAAAGCAGGCATTTGGGGAAAGGAATCAGAAGTGGGAGCGCTGTTTGGTTTTGCACATCATACTAAGCAGAGGGACAAGTTTTTCTGACTGGGAGCTGCACTTCATTAAAAAAAAAAAAATACTGGCCTATTGAGGGGGGTTTAAAGGTGTAATTTATAGCAATTAAGCACCTTGAAGTCTTAATACATCTCTTTGACACTGTGGAAGGGGGAGCAACAAGAAGTTGTGTTGCATAAGAATTTTGTAGTTCTGCCAGTGAGTTTTGATGGCATTCTTTGGGTGTGCTATGGAGATTGCAAAATGAGGCCTGGGAAGCTGTCTATCCTGATATCATACCACTGATTGTT